TGCTTACCATGTCAATTTTGTTCCTGCGCGCGCTGATGTGCACTATTCTCTTTCGCCCATGCGCCTTCTGCGCCTTGATATACCACCCTTACAGCCCATTTGCGCAACATTTGCGCCTAATTCCACACTATATACATTTCTCGCTAACACATTTGCAGGGAAATGGCCGTTCCTCACGTGTTTGGCCAATATAATCAAATTCGCGCGAAATCGCACCAAGGCGCGCACATCGCGCGCACCCTATCAGCTTGTAGGGCGCCCCTACACCCCTTGCAGCGCCTCCCATTGGCGTGCCTTCAACCTGCAGCGCGTTGTGCAGGAATTCATTCTGCCAGTCACAAGCCCCCCCAAGCGCGCCAGCCTTGCGCATTCCAACCCTACCTTAGGTAAAGTGTCAGCTCGCAAGAGACGCGAAGCGTGCTAGTCACGCGCACTCGCACGCACTCAAGGAGGAGGATCAAGCGCTTCAGCAGCGTGCCAAAGAGAAAGATATACCATCGCTGTTCATAGGATATCATTTGTTTTACCCTGGGTTTCGTCCAGCGCTCTTTCATTCTCATTTTTCTCATTATAACACCGTCCAAAAGACTAATAACACACTGATATATATGCATATAGGAAGCACCTAGAAGAACATAGAAGAAAAAAACAACAAAACAACCTTAGATTGTGCCCGCCTAGCTCAATAGTATTATTTTCTCTTCGCATGCATGACGCGGCACCATGCTCTTTTTACCTTAGAACGCGCGCATATGTGCGCAATATTCCCGCGCCCATGCGCCTCATGCGCGCTTCCCGCGCCTTGCTTATAGGAAGGTATAGATGTTGACAGCTGCATGAAGAAGACAAGTCGGATAGGACATCCGCAAAGTTTACCATTTTTCCTTCGCATTTTCACATATGGTTTTACTCACACTGTTCAAACCTTACCACCTAATATTTAGCGCGCCTAGCGGGACTTGGTTTGGACTTGGATTGGATCGCTCTTGGACCGCACCACTTCGCATCATACGCACAATACAACACACGCGACACTCACGCGCTTTCTCGCGCCTTGTGCGCGCGCGCGCTTTCCCGCGCTTCACGCTGTACATGCGCGTCTCGCTCATGTTTCGTGCGCCACATCCATATCACCCTTGCATCATCACCCCACACCTATGGCGCACTATTCACACCAGAGTCACCCTCGCAATCCACCATGCTACGCTTCATTCCTGCGCCTTCAGTGCATATGCGCGCGCACATTCTCGTGCCTCGCACGCGCCATGCATGCAACTTCCCACGCCTTCGCACCTTACGCGCACCTGCACCTTCCCGCGCTTTGCACCTCACGCAATAATTCCTGCACTCGCGCATTCATCGCCCAACAACCCAAGCATTGTACATGCATCGCACGCCCATACTATCATGCGACATCCTCACCACACGCACGCTGAGTGGGGACACTCAGAATTTAAAGTCCCTGGGAGATGTAGAGACTCATGCCTCTCATGGCGTGATATGGCAGTTTCCACTAAGGGAGTATAGAGCACCAACTCGCAGCACCACTCTGTGTACTGTCCACAGCAATTCCTATATGAGGCGCAGCTTTCCCATGCTTTGCGATGTATACACGCGCGCGCATTCCCACGCTTGCGCGCCCTATAGCGCCAGCCATCCAGATGCATCCATCCACTGTCCACCAAGCTCCCTAGTGCGTATATTTCCATTTCCTTTATTAGCATAGTGTTCCACCTTTATTTTTATCATGGACTCTCACCCATATATATCCTTACATACCTACTCGGTAGCGCTTCGGCTCCACATGACTGCGCTTAAGCGTGCTATATAAGCGCCAGCAGTACTTACTTAAAAAAAAAACTTTCCCTTTACCTTACTATACTTTCCACCCACTATCTACCTAGAAGAACATAGTAGAAATCTATTTGTCTACACTTTGCATCTCTCTTCTCTTATATTGCATTATATTATCACTTAAGCTTAGTCTCTCTACCATTTCCGCACGCGCGCATTCCCACGCCTTCGTACCTTGCGCGCACCTGCGCTTTCTCGCGCTTCGCTTCAGCACATACCACTAGATCTTCGCTCCACTTGCTTTCCCTTTAGGGTCGAACGCGCTTGTCTCCTCAAGTAACGCAAACTAGGCAACGCATGACCTTCAACATTTTTAGATACAGTTAGGAGCATCTTTTGTTCCTCTCAGTATTGTTGTTTCTACACCGGTGTTCTTAGAGGTTATTAACACTATCTATAACTTGGATCAAGACAAAGACATATGGGAAAAATGACGAGCAAGACACCAGGCATCACAATACATTATCGAAGATGGTAAACTATGGTGTTTGAGAGGAGGAACAGAAACTAGAGCAAGAGCTAAGGTAGAATGTATACCAAAGGAAGAAGCAAAAATTCTGGCGGAAAAAGCACATACCGAAGGAGGCCATTGGAGAAGAGACGCAGTGAAAATGGCATTGTTGGATTGAATTTGTATTCTGAAGTTGGATGCATCAGTTATGAAGGCTATATGGAACTGCGCTAAGTGTAAAATATTTGGACCAATGCATGTACACCCACTGTTAGAACCAATTACTAGGAGGCACCCATTTGAATTATTAGTGGGCGATTATCTTGCACTTCCTAAAGGGAAGGGCAGATATAGCACATTAGGAGTCTATCTTGATGTGTTCTCGCAACATACCTGGGTATTCAAATATAGAACGGCAGGCATCACAAAGACGACAATGGACAGTCTCAATAGTATCTTCAACATGTTTACACCGGTGGAAACCTTTATGGTTGATGGAGGGAAGCACTTCAACAATAATGCAGTACAGGTGTTATGTGAAATGCGACAATGTAAACTGCATATTGCAGCAGTGTATTCTCCATGGGTAAACGGTCTTTTGGAAGGAACTAATAAGCTATTGTTGCATGTGTTGAAACATTTATGCACACTGAATATAGAGGAAGACAGCGAGCAACAAGGAACATCCTGGGACAAACTTCCAATGTCATGGCCAGATCATCTCAAGGATGTGGTTCATACTCTAAATCACCACTTGTTACCACATCAGGAAACCTGGATTTTCCCTGATTTAACTGACACACCTGCATGACCTGACTGATCTGATTTCAGACCAATCATAATCTCAGGTCACCAAACTCACAGTTGGACAGTGATATCAGACACAACATGCTCTCAGAACATCAGAACATCATGACACTCAAGTATTTCAGATACAGCAGAATATCATTGTTACAGGATGACATGCTTCTCAAACATAACATGCTATACAGAATATCAGCATTTCAGGACCACGTGACTCTCAAGCATATCAACACAGATAGGACTGCAGTTCTTTCAGGACCTCATAACCATCAGCTTCATCAGACAAATCATAAAAACAGATATGCAGCCTAATTGGTCAATCAGACACATCAGTAAGATCAAACATGCAGATACTCAGCCTAATTAGTCAGTTAGACAAATCAGACAAATAATAAACACAGATATGCAGCCTGTCTGACCTTGCAGACAGCTCTGCAGCTATAGTATCCCAGTGCAACATGTACCACAGTAACCCAGTAGGTCAGAGTCTTCATAATAACTGCTTTAACATAATGTCAGATAATTCAGCTCTATCAATAAAGTACTATAGTCCAGTCTTTCCACTGGTCAGTTCATGTAGTATATCAGCTGTATCATTCTTTCAAAGTTTCAGCCAATCATATTATACAAGACAGCAGCAGTATCAGATCCTACAATCCTTCATACTAGTTACTATGTGAAGGAAGACGTGATTGGGGCTAGTGTTGTAAAATCTGGTCTGGTCCAGTTTTTTTTGACCTTACTAGTAGTACTGGGAGGCAACTGGACCAGGACTGATGTTTTCAGTCTTTTGTGGTTCTACAACCAGTTTTAGACTAGTCTATGAGTAGACTGGTCCACAACCAGTTAAGACTCAAAGACTCTGTCAGTAGGAACATTTTGAGCCTCTTATGTTGTCAAATAGGTAAGATTTGAATAAGTTATGAGCATTACAGACAGGCTTGTATAACTTTTATGAGCAATTATTGAAATGCTCATAACTTTCTGAATTATTGACTGTTTTTTATGATCCAACCAGTGATAAATGCATGTCAATTAGCACAATCATACACTACCATATAGTAGGCTAGTATTAGGGTCACAACAGACCAATTTCAACCAGTTTTTATTAGTTTCTTATTTTTTGGCCAATGGAAGGGCAACTAGTACAATTTGCAGTCTGGTGACTGGACTTTGAAACACTAGTTGGGGCTACTAGTAGTAGTCAACTTTGAAGGCATTAATGTTGAATAACTTGGTAATGGCATACTAGTAATGATGCTGCAGGGGGTAGTAGTACTAGTAATACCAACTGGTGACTTAGAGTTGGCTCTACCAAATCAAAAAATAAATATGGGGAAAATTACATATCATGTTTTACAAAGAACAGCTACTACTACTACTACTGCTAGTAACAAAGAAGTTGAATGAAATACGAAAAGTGTCATATCCCATATATTCATGCTTCTCTTCCGGACTTTGGACCCTGAGATCCGGTCCGGTCCGATGCATAGATCCGCTTCTGATCCAATATCCGATAAGCTTCCTATTTCATTTCCTGTTCATTTAATATTAAACACAGCCTATTTGGTATTTCCTCTTCCCGTTGTTTTGGCTATACTTATTACCGGTATGATTACTGATCTGTTAACCCATGCTTCATTTCCGACTCGCATTTGATAACCTTTGCACATGCTTCATACATAGCCTTTGGACCTTTGCTTACTTATTGTTGCGTTATCCACTTAGTATATAAACTCATGTATATGTCCTGTAGTACCTCAGTTCGAATATCATCTTAGTTTGTCCTCTTTCCATCCTCTGGACTTGAGTCCTTCTTACTCTTGTCACTCTCCGAGACTTCGGATAGATTCCGATAGTCTATATCCTCAGCTCTACCTTCGGGTAGTCTTTACTTACACCAAGTTGATGCTGAGTGAATGACACAACGCAGCATACCATTAACTCCACAAATATCACTAGGAGCATAGAAAGATGCAGTTGCAGAATGAAAAACACGCACCTTGCCATTGAAGTCTGGACAAAGGGACACATCCATTTCATGTCCAGGAATAAGATGGTCGGGATTTTGCTGGTCATGTAGAAATTAACGCACAAGGTCACAGAGATGAGAAACACCAATGTGTTGACCAATACTCTGTAACCAAGTTGGATAATGAAGGGCTAATAAGAAACATGATGCTAGTTAATAAATAGATATAAAAATAAAAATAAAAACCTGGTGTTTTAGCCAGCTGGATAATGATCTCAGCATCCTGATCATCAGCAATTGCATCTTCCAAGTCTCCATCATCTCAATAATTCTCCTCATCAGAATTATCATCAAAAGTAGAGTCAGGGTCAATAGCAATAACATCAGAGGATAATAAAGACTGTTCAGGATAGTCTGTGATATATGGACCAAAGCCATAGACAGCATGTCGAAAGTGGCCATCTGCACACTTAACTATTTCAGGCTTTTGCATTGCCAGCCAAAAAGACTCCAAAATCGTGCGAAGGGAAGCATGAAATAGATGCCAACGAAACTGAAGATACTCCTTGCTACCTTCGTAGCCTCACTCAGCTAGGACAGGGTAGTTCATATAAGTTTGAAATATATTAGAAATGAACTTACTTGTTGGAATTGAAAGAAATCTGACTAGGCTAACAGACTGGCAATGTGAACGTCAAATATTGTTATGAAGATTCCCAGCGGAGATATATAGCAGATAGTAGTTGTTCTGACCAGTCGCAACTGAGACAGTAGTCTTATCGCTACCCAGTATTACTGGTATGAACATGGCTCCATGACAATCATCATCATGAGCAAGTGTATTCTAAAAACATAGCAATCATATTGTATTACTGACCTGTAACTAAAATAACCTGACTCACACATTAATTCCAGGTCCAATTACCTGTCATGAGATCAGTCCACACACGCTGACTGTGCTCACCAAAAACCTGTCATGGAGCATAGTCGATGCCATCTACAAACTCTGGGTTGGAAAGTTGGTTCTTCAATAGTTTGCGAGGGTCTCAATACCAAATGTCGAATTCAGCATGTTTCCAGGGAGGAACATCCTCGTCGTTGAGGTTTGCCTCATAGTCAGGATGGCGAAGAGAAAGTGATTGCCACGGTATATCATGAGAGGTGATTGAATCTATGGTATCAAGGAGGTGCATGTCACTATGGAATAGTGGACAGCCATGGTTTGCCTCAAAAGATGCAAGCACCTGCATCAAATCATCTACCTGTGCTGCAGGCATCTGATTGTGCCAAAATAAGAAGTCCGTGAGCTCAAAGTGACCGCGAGATTAGAAGGGACTCCAGGTATTGTCTTGTGGAGTGTGCGGCTCAGGAGGAGGATGCTGTGGATGTATATCATGGCCCTCGACATCACATGATGTACCATCAAGAACTGGGTGTGGGATATAGTAGGCGCCCTGAGGTATCTCCTTGTCGTGCACGAAAGAATGCTGACAAGGGTGTGTTGGATGCGGAGGGTCGATATGGACAGAATTGCAATGTTGTCAGTAGCCACCAAGTGTCTTGAAGCCACATTGACAAATGGGGCCCTTGGTATTGACACAGAAGAACCTGCATGGCCGAAACTCTGAGGTCTTATGATCCATAATGTTCAAGTATAGTCTGGAATTCAATACACGTGTTAACAAAGGTGAATAATTACAAAGTCAAAGAGCTTACCAAGTTTTTGCATGAGAATTTGAGTAAAGTCCAAAGCTACCCGGAACTCAAACTTGTTGCTATCTGTGTAGCATTGCCACAGCTCATCATCACACTAACTACATCCTATGTTGATACTAACGATAGCAATGGTTGCAACACGACCGTCAAACAAGAGTAAGCATCCAGGGAAGGTGGACTTACCTGCTCGATCCAGACAAAACACCAAGTTCTGCGATGAGAGTGATGACAATGACGACAATGATGACAATGATGACAATGAAGACAATGAAGAGAAGCAGGCCCACATCAAGAAGCCAAAGCCAAGGAACAAGCCTGGACCGACGTCAAGAAAAGCCAAACAGGCTAAGAAAGCAGCAGCGACAGATGCTGTAGCTCAACTCGAGCTGGAGATGGCAGAAACTGATGTACGAGAGGCCAAGGAAGCGAATCGGCCACTGATATCAAAGGTAACAAAGAAACCTTGACCTGTGAGCAGCAATCATCAGCCTAAAACATTCAGACCAAAGGACATATGTATGTGACTTATATCAGTCTCCACTTGATCAAGTAGCTGACGCGATGCTCAAAGAAGACATTATTCTAGCAGAGACAAATGAGAACAACACAGACAGGGACAGAAACGACGATAATGACTCACCAGGAAGTCCCAGACAGCCACTCACAAAGTCCCAGAAGATCTATGGAGATGTTGAGGCTGCGAAGAAGACCCTGTTGGAAAGGAGGGATGAGGAGCGGGAATGGGAATGGGATCAGAACAGCAATGATGATCACAATGTTGGAGTTGTTGGAGAGAAACAGCGAAAGGGCAAGGACCATGCGCAAAGTGACGATGAAGGCGCAAGGCAAGTACTATCTTAGGCGCTCGATAACAGCTGACTCACCATATCAATGTTGATCAACACTTGTCAACACATCCTCATGGACTTGTTGCGCACACCCTTACCATCCAAATGCAGGCCTGTCAGCAAAAAACTTAAGCCTGATATTCTCCATTTTTCCTCTCAACCACCACTAAGTGGCCTTCACCAAAACTGGCACCAAGTAGTGGCCAAGGAAGTTCCTAACGCCTCTCGCAGACATACTAGTAGCACTGCGCCAAGTCCTCCAACAGCCAAGGCAGGAAGTACGTACCAATTTTCTGGCCTTTGTATTTTACTGATTCACTCAATTTTAAAGGTGTAGTGCCTCGCAATACCATTCATCCAGGTAGCTTCGAGTTCGAGGACAACACTGATCCTGGAGATGATCTGAACGAGTGCATGAAGATGCAGATACCTGTACTTGAAGGAGACGATGACCCGCTGTTGGCTCCCTTGTCCATCAACATAATCAAGGTTCGTTTCTTTACATTTTGCATTCAATATATTAACTACAAATTTTATATACTTCAGAATCCTCCTTCCAAGACCACTAACTGGTCTGCCTCCATCCCTCCAACAGCAACTCGTGCGCTCAACAAGTCTCAACACTTGGGTCCCCTTCCTCCAGTCCCACATGAAAATATGACGCATGCCGAGCAAGAGGTCAAGCAAGAGGGCAAGCAAGAGGGCAATGAGGAGGTTGTGAAACCCTATAGACACTACATGCGCAAGGTGCATTTTTTCTATCTATTACCTGTCTATCACACTAATCACTAATCATGTGCTTACAGATGAAAGTTGTTGGGCACCAACTCAAACGTCCTCCACCCGAAATCCAGGGCTCACAAACCAACTCCAACCTGGATTGATTGTCTCATAGTCGCACAGCTGCATTGAGGTCTAGCTCAGGCAATGTAAGTCTTTTTTTTTCGGCAACTTTCAAACTAATGTATATGTTCAGAAAAGATCATCAACCAAGCACCTTCAATCTTGCAGCAACACGAGCTCAAAGGCGGGCCGTAATGACAGACATCAAAAGCCAAGAGAACCTAATCATGTGCATGTTTTTTTCAATTAAACATTATTTTCATTCTGATTTGTCTGTTATCTATTTAGTCTGCTACAAAGGCCTTGTCCTCCCAACTCCACAAATTCAGTACTGACAACGACAACAGATCATCACATGCACCACGAGGTCGTGTCAAATTCACCAAAAATGACCTTCCCCCGATCCCATCGTCTCTTCAATTCTCTTGTTGTCCCAATGTGGATCAAGTGCATCTCCTGCCTCGACAACATGTGGGACATATCAGATTTCGCTGATGAGATGCAATCAATATGGGATCATGCGATACCGAACATCCTGCACACAGTTTCGAGGTCAAACAACCCAGTATACAAGATCATAAGTGCTTGATTTTTACTTATGCACACTGTCATGATTGCTGTCGACTCTTTAGTTGATGCAGCGCGCATATGACTACCGCAGCGACTTTGGTGAACGTGCTCAAGTTGTCATCCAAAAGTTCATTGAGAAGGGGGGCTGGACACCCAGCGATATTTGTGAAGTTGTTGCATATGTAGTTCCGCAGTAGGCCCAGTTAATTAACAAGAGGGGAAAACCTATCCTTGTCAATCCTCCAGTCTATCCCTACATGTGGAAAGAGTGTGTCGGAGACGAGGCAGATCCAGATGTAAGTCTTATTGTTGTTACAGCACTGATTACTTATGTTTTCGATAGGCTTACTACAGAGCTTTTGAAGACCATTGTATCCTTGACATGTTCACACTTTATCTCGAATACATTCACAAACTCCCAACTGCTTACTATCATCGAGCAATGCGTAAGGGTGCTTTGTCTATTGCAACTGTTGTGGTATGTGTTCCCCTCAGCTCAATATATTTTCATACTCATGTTCATATTCAATTTTAGGTAGAACGAACATGGAAGATGTGGTCTACAGGGACCTTTGAGAAACCAACCAATGCATCACATCAGCAGTTTGCTGAAGGGCTCTGGAGTCACAGCACCAAACTGATCATGGAGTCTATTGACAGTGCTACTCGTCATAAGTGGAAGAAGATTTTGAAAGGTGCTGGTGCTTTCATAGATGTTCATCAGAAACACCCCACTCAGCGGGCACAGGCCCAAGCCAAGGGCATGGGTGTGAATGGTCAAGCCATGTGTATTGATGAAGACTCTCACTCAGATTCTGGCTCTGATATATTGTTGATGGCTTCCTATTTGGCTACTACTACTCATTTGTCATTATTTCAAGAATTCATTGATTTTCTGCTTTATATGTTTGGCTGAGGGTGATGGTAATGTAATGTACTGAAAGTCATGACTTTTTGGATGGCCTGCACATCGGAATGACTTGAGTATTGGATAGTGCAGATGTGACTGAATATCTGAGTACCTGATAACCTTGACATGATGGCTTACTGACTCCTTTGAGTATTTGATGGGACAGATTGGCTATCAAGGTGTACTTTGGAGTTACAGAGAGTTTTGATATAACATCTTCCTGAGATTCATGGCATCCTGGTATGCCTGCACATCTGTTAGCCTAAAAGTTGGACAATCTGAATAGCTCATATGTTGATAGCCTGTGCACCAGATCATATGATAGTCTATGTGTATGACTGGCTGATAATAGTGGGACCTGATCATCTGAAACAACGGAGTAATTTGATAGGTTGGAAGTGGCTGAATACCTGAGTCTATGACATATTGACAGTCTGCACATAATGATGTACTGATATATTGGCATACTGAAAATCCTGAGGGTTTGCCAGTTCTACCATCTGAATTTTATGATACACATGATGATGCTGAGGAACTACATATCTGAGGTCTCTGTTGTACCTAGCATATGATGGGCCTGGACATGTCTGATTTCAGATGGGACCCACCTGATTTCAGAAAAAATCTGATGAGCTGATTGTTTGATTTGCCTGGTGGTCCTGCTATCAGACAACTCAGCCAAATCATGGAAAATCCAGGTTTGCTGATGCAGCACTGAGATTTTCTCCTAAGGAATTGCTTCTTGGCCTAGTGGCAAACATGCCAAGAACGAGGATTGAAGATAGTGTGTTGATACTCAGACAATCAGACGTGCTAGCGCAAATGGCATATATGGAGCAACAATGTCTGGATGGTTATGAGGAGATAGTCTGGCACGCTATCAAACATAGAGCAGCATTCAATAAGAGAGTTCTGCAGAGAATGCCAGGTGAGGTTACATTCAAAGTTGGTCAACTGGTTCAAGTATACTGCAGTGATTTGGACTATACCTTTAAAACGGAACAGAAGTTAATACCGAAGTGGTTGGTTCCACGCTGAATTCAGTCAAGAAACCTCAATTCATACAAGCTGGAGACACTAGAAGGAAGACCAATACAAGGAGAATTCAGTGCATGACAGTTGAGAGCATTCACTCCCAGGATGGGTACTCAATTGGCGAAGAAACAAGAAACATACAAAACAGAAAAAAGGAATAAGGACGATGAAGATAACGGCGATGAAGAAGAGGAGGATGAAAACAAAACAGGGGAAGAAGATATAGGTGAAGAAGATATCAATGAAGAAGACGAAGAGGATGAGTAGGAGGAGACAAGAAGGAGAAGTAGGGTGGAAGAGTGGTGTCGAGGGCAGTGCCGGTTCTTTTTAGGGGGGTGCATGGACTAGGGGTCTCATGGGCAACAGAGACGAGAAGAGAGTCCCACGGCTGTTTCCGAAGCTTAGTCAGACGAGGTTGGCAGATTCGCACACGAACATGTAGCATAAGCATTCATCCCAGTAGCAGCCTCACAGAGCCAGTTCGACCCATCTCAACGGTTGTCTGACTTTCCATAATTTATGGTATTTGCAGAGGTTTGGTAAATTCCTTATCTTTTGCTCGCAGAATGATCTGATCCCCCGTCCTTCGTCTCGTCGTCTACTTCCTCAACATCCCGTAAACTGCGCGCCGTACGTTCATATCCAGATACGTCGATTTCCTCGAACGTGTCAGCGGCACCGATTACTGGGAAGACGCGATTCAATGCCCAATAGACAATTGCAGAAACTCCAAAGCCCGTAAAGAAGGACAATTCATATATCCGAGTAGCTGCTAGAGGGACTGTGCGCCCAGCTAGGAAATAACATTTCAGGATTGATGTATCACGACCGTGGGGGCAACTCACTAGCTCCAGCAAAACCGACAACGTTAATAAGGATCCCAGATATATACGCGGTGTATGCCCTTAATAGCACTTGTCAGGGTTGAACACTTCAAGGCAATCAAAACTCTCACCGGAAGTTGATCCCATACGTGTACCAGTACCAGCTGCCCTTTGTGGTGTTATAGAGGTCCTTCACATTATAATGACCCTTGCGAACGATGTAGTATTCTGTCACCTGCAGCAACCCGTTCACAATGGTGAAAAGAACAATTACAGAAGCGCCTACATACCATCACCCCAGCAATGGAGCTCAGGAACACTGAATATGCGGAGAGGTAAGAAGTGAACTCATTACTATTTTTCAGGAGGTTCCATGGACACATGGCGAGACCAACGGTAGCAGCAATATACCCGCCACGTCGGATGTTCTGCGGTTGGTTCTTGAGTATGTTAGTTCTGAATATACACCGGATATGCATACAATAAAACGAGGGAACAGTGCGGTCAAATCGCATCCCGCCGACACTGAATTTGCGCAGATGTTCGTGCTTGGTAACCAATGTCAGCTTGGGGCCCGTTCTGGAGTCAGGGTATGTTATTTGACGCACCCCATCTAGGAGAAGAAGTATTAGATTCGCAATATCAAAGAAAATACGTCACGTCACCTGTGCAAGCATGAATGATGCTGAGATAAACCATACCTGCAAGGAGGAGGACGTGAACGCGTGTCAGGCATAGACCAAGCTCCTCGGATATCACAATCACACACCCCGAATCTCGTTGCTTTCGACGGATTGTCATTCAAGAAGTTTCCCAACAGATCGATGGGTGACCAAATGGCTGTCCCGTAAATTGCCTGCGACGACGAGCTCACAAGGATTCCGATCAAACTTACAAACGCCGCACTTAGAGGAATTGCAAACAGTTGTGGGTATAGCGCAGCGGATGAGGTGCGAGCGCGGGAGGCGAAATCCGGTGCGTTGGTGACCAGGGTGACCTCGTTACTGATGCATGACATCGAACTGACCACCATAGCCCAGCCTAGCTTTGATCCGTGCAGTGTTGACGGTTGATGCAGGATCGGGCCGATCCCGTGAGCTTTCACAATGCACCATATGAGAAATGTGATTGAGGCTATGGGCATCAGGATGGGTGTCACAAGGAAGAAGTGGCGGCTGAGGAAGGTCACTTTATAACTGTCTTCATGGGAAGATGTGATTGTACTTACACTTTGTGCACAGGGAACCAAATGATCGGCAGCGAAATGAGCCAGAAGAGGAAGAAGCACAGGTAATCTCGAGTGTCCGTTCCAGAGGACGCGGGCATCGAATTTGCTACCGGCCAGCTTTAGTTGAATATGATTACCACAGAAAATGATAAACGCACGCAGGTCATATATGCTAGGCCACATTGCTCTGAGCATTACGAGCACACAGGAACCTCCGATGCTCGCCTGGACGCCATACCATATGCTATGTTGCTTAGCTCGCGCATCATTGTAAAGCCAAGAAGGCGCACCATGCCATAGCGGCGCGATTAAAGACACACCACAGACTCCCAAACATCCCGAAGCTCGTGCGATTCACGATTGGAAACATCACATGGAAGATAGCACCAGGACGTGCATTCAGGACAAGGAAAGGCGCGGCAACGCCATAACCCAGCCAGACGCATATCCAGGCTTGCCACCACGACATCCCTAGTTGGATCATGGAGCTTGGAGATTTCATTTAATACCGACCAAAATAATGATGATGGTGAGCGTACGATACGATCATCCACATGTTTATGTTAAACGTGTCCGCTGTCCAGAAGGCGATGTAGTTGTATGCACGCCATGTGCGTTTCTCCGGCTCAACAGGCAGCAAATCGTAGTTCTATCATAGAGCAAATTGCCGTTAGTACATGCAGGGAGGGATCGTATCCATCGTGGATACTCACGGCAACGAGCTGCTCGGTAATGGTGAGGTTGGAGTCATGAGTGACTTCGAAGCTTTGGACGATCCTATTAAGCAGGCCCATGACAAGTTGAAATGGTAAGAGGGCGCTATCATCGTTCGCGCGCTCGGACTCGCAGTTCTTTAACCCGATGCTTATCATGCATGGCTAGTAACGCCACCACGCGGCGGCAATTGATATCCCTGACACCCATTTTCACATGGGCTACCAGGCGGCCACTACAACTTACAAGTGGCAGCTCCTTATGATTCAGACGTTAAGTCGTCAAGGTCTTCAAAATTCGCCCTCCGTTTCTAATAAAAATGAATGAACAATCGAAAGATGTAACGAGCAGCAGCTAACAGAACTATGAGTATGTTTTCAACATGCGCCCGCCAGGAATTTTTAACTTCGGCGACTCCTGCAGAAAGTACCGCAACAGAAGTAAGTGCGTTCCATGAGGTTTCTCCGTATCGGCCCGGAGATAACTTGCAATGGCATGCCACAGTCGCTCGCCTGTGAGTGCCTGCGAGGTTAAAACAAGATGATTGATTGAAACGGCGTGAGTGTGAAGGTCAAGTGCATATGCATGCGAATTTTGGAATATCGTCGTCGTCAGACTCAGAGAGAGAGAATCATACCGTCACGAGCACAAGTCGAGCAGCCGGTTTTCATTAAGTCGGTTCAGCTAGCAACATGAAAAAGCCTGCCCTGAAGCTTGAAGGTCGGCTGAAGCCTGCCGCTAGTCTCTAGAATAGGCAGGAGCCGTCGCCGCTTTCCGACTTTCAATACGCCAACGGCCAATTCAATCACTGGTTCAAACGTCCGACTCGCGAGCCTTGCGATCAGCCACAGCATAGGAGGAGCGCGACTCTCTCAAAATTTGGGCCTAGGACTGACTCGAATGTCTGCTGACTGTTTGTTACCTCGGACGTACTACATGTACAATTATCTGCGAATCATATCTTGGCTGAGTCGGGGACTGGGCAGCCGAGCACCGGTAGGGTCGACTTCTTATCACAATCTGGGATCATTCGAGGGTCCAAGTTTATCGCTCATGTGCGGCTTCTGGTTGCCTGCAGGTGTCGAATTTGGGTGTACTCTTTGCGCCCCAACCTGTTTGGAAATTCAGACAGAGCGCTCGGTCGACATGATACTACAAGGACGACCTCGTTGCATAGTCGTTTCGAGGCACTCCTTTGTACCATC